TTATAGAGTGGGTGGTGGGCTTGGGGTGGGGAGGGTATCCAGGTGCTGCTGCTCACCGCAATGCTCTGCACCCCACCGGTCCCGCCCCCTTTCCTCAGGCTCGGAAGCATCTGCACAACTTTGAGGCCACACACTGCTCCCCGCTCCCGGCCCAGAATTTTCAGATGCCCTGGCACCTCTAGGGACCATGTGGGACTCATTCTGGAAGAATGGGATGGGAAGAGACAGGAGGAAGGACCCTCTTATTTGTGATTCTCTGTGTTCATGTTGCTGTACATCGTTTGTGGAAAGTGGGGGACCATGCCCCTTCCCACCACTGTTCCTCTTGCACGTTTCCTCTCATCCATGTGGCTGTACCTCACCTTCTCCAACACACACCTTGCATTAAATGAATGGATTATTCCTAATAATTAATAAAAAGGTATTTTTTTTACTATCTGGCTAATTATGTGACTTTCCAGTATCCAGAGAGCCAGGACTGGTAGTTGGGAGACTGGAGGCCCCAAAGGGCTGAACTTTGGGAAACCCCAACTCCAGACAGCCAGTTTAACCTTCCCCATCTCTGCGTCTTTGTGTCCCCCCAGGCCTTTAGCCCCCAACCTGAACTGTTTTGCAGTGGGTCCCCAAGCCTCACCCTTCCCTGGGATGTCTAGTATTATCACCACCACCCTCGCCCTTCCCTCCTTCCTCCCTCCTTCTTGCATACAACTGCCCCAGGAGTTCAGGGCTGCCCCTTGTTGCTTACAATTCATGAGCTCTGTTGTTTACAAAGCGCTTTCCAGTATCTGATTTCACCTACTAAATAAGCTCTTCTGATTTCCAGGTCCAACCTACATGGTATACCCCCAGTGTTCCTTGTTCCACTCGTGTTATCCCTATGTATTATGCAGCAAACCTGGCACACCCTCCTCAGCAAGTCATCAAGTCTCTCTCCTCACACCCTTTTTGCAATTCAACAAACACAGAGCCTGCCAGGGCCTGAGGGCTAAGTGTCCAGGACTCATGTCCTCCCAGAGCTATACTTTGCCTTTTGTACAGTTCCGCTAGAAGAAAATTCTTAGGTTGAACCCGAAGAAATTGGTTCCCTAGAACTTCCATTTTATTTCTAATCCTTGGACTTTGTGAAACAGAATTAGTCCCTCTTCCACCCATCAGTTTGTTGCCTAGACACCTTCCCTTGGAAACTTCTCTTTTCCAGATGAAACAACCCCAGGTTTAACGCCCTGGGCCCATTGTTTTTGAAGAAGATACTTACCATGGGTGGCAATGTTCTGATGTCCTAGATACAGTCTCTGGCTAATTTCTATCCCCTCCGACCCCAGAGCATGAAGTTTCTGTGTAGTCCTGGGGACAGAGACTGTGTCTGACTCCATCAGCTCAGCAGCTCTTGAAGATAAGGCATACTGAGTCTCCACTGGATGGGGAGATAAGAGACTTAACAGGTGATGTGGTGCCTGAAAATTGGGGTTAGAAGAGGGGAGGTGATCACAGCTCCAGAATGTTCCAGCAAAGAGCAGTGGAGAGCCTAAACTCGTGCCCCCTCTGTCCCATCCCTGGGGGAAAACAGGGTGGGAAGTGTGGAGCATGAATCCGTGGGACCAGCTGCCTGGTTCTGAACCTCACCCTCCCAAATCCAACAGGACAGTTAATCCCCTAGAAGCTAATATTTGTTCAGCTAAGGGAACCTCCTTACATGCAAATAGGGGGCACCTAGTCCCACCTCCCACACCCTAGAGGCAAGGCACTCTCCTTTCCTGGCCCTGGCCATTAGAGACAATGCTGACCTCTACTGCCACTTTCCCCCCATTTTCTTGCACATCTGTAGAGAACAATGGATGCCACTAGGGGCTCTTGGATATCTGAAGTGGGTGGGGAGAGGGGAGGCTCAGCATGTGGATTCTGGACCACCCCACCCAGAGACCTCAGTCTACTTCAGATTACTCCCCACCTGATAAGGCTCAGCATGGCTGTGTTGGTTTTGCAGTCCCAGGTAAAGATCGACTGAGTTGCAGACCCCACAACTGCTGGGGCTCTGGACCCTGCTGTACTGGGCACGAGTTGAGGCCTGAACACCCAACTGCCCCAAGGAGCTGAGCAAATTGGTAAAGAGGAAGGATGCCTCGAGAAGGCCAACTTAGAGCCTAGGCCTGAAACCTGGAAAGAGGTGGTCCCCAGTCTGGGCCATGCCTTATCCTACTCTATCTCATTGGCCCAGGCTCCACCCTGCACTGCCTGCCCCCAGTGAGGTGCTGGACTTGGCTCTGGGCTGCATGTTTGGATTGAGGGTTTGTTCCACAACCCTGGGAGAGGCAGGTGTTTCCCACACAGCTGTCAGAAGTGAATAAGGGCCTCGGAACGTGTAGGGCCCCGCAGGGTAGGGGTCCAGGCGTGGGAAGATAGCCAGGTCCCCATCCATCCATCCAGGAACCCAGCCACTCATTTTTTCACTCATTTACATTCAGGTTAAAGATCCTCTAACTGGTTGCTCTCCAGATTACACTCCCCCAACAGAACTTCGTTCTCGCCCGGCCCTATCATCTGCAGGCCCGCCCCTCGTTTGCCTCGCCCCATTCTCCTAACTGTGGCTTTCGGTCCTCAGACCCCACCTCCTTTGTTTCGTCACTTGGCTGCTTACCCCCAGGTATCCCTTGTCCCGAGGGAGGAGCACTCAGCACGGACACCACCATCCACGGCTGTACCATGCGGACTATTGCAATGCCCCTCCTCTGAACCCCGGGAAAGCCTCCACGCAACCCGTCACCATGGAGACGAACTCTCGGGGGTCTTCTGGCGCACTGGCCTCGCCCTGCCGCGTGGACAAAGAATGTGCGAAACGAAACCAGGGCGAGATGGACTCCGAGGCTCCTCCCCTTCCGAAGAAGGCCCCGCCCGGCCCGGCCCGGTCCGCAGTACTACCGGTGCCTTCCCTCCCGCTGCCTTCCCGGCCGAAGTCCGGCCTCATCCTCGCTTCTCGTCCTCGGCCTTTCAGTTGCGGTGGTTCTTAGAGAGGGGTTCAGAGGGCGCCGTGACATTCCCTCTGCCTCCCCTTTGCCCTCTTAGCTTCTAGAGGCGCCCCCGCTCTCTGTTCCTTTTGTCTATCACTCTGTGCACTCATTCGTTCAAGAGACAAAAGTCTGCGTAGCTGCCAGGCGCTCCTCTCCAGTTCTCCATGACTCTTACTTTTCTCTTTTAATACAGTTTTAAAAATTGCATTCATTCAGTTCCCCTTATCGGCCAGCCGCCAAAAAATAAAAATTGCATTCACTCCAAGGCTCTTGCGGGGCGCGCAATGGCGTGCGTTTTCCTCTCGTTTCTTCCTTCCCGTCCATCTCTCCGGGCGCGTCTCCCGTGCGTTTCTTCCCCTCCTCCTCCTCACCCCTCACCCCAAGACCGGATGATTCTTGGATAGTCTGGGCAGTGGCAGGGAATCCGACTTCAGGACCTCGCCCCAGACCGCCAGACGGGAGAAATTGGAGGAGGTAGTGTCGTTTCTGCCGCCGAGGACCTCCCATAGACCAATAACCCTAAAAGTTAAAACCCTAAGTCTGCGACTGGCCTGGAGAGGTGGGAACCGAGCAGGACGTGGCGAGGTGGGGGAGCGCAGCAGGTCCTCAGCGGACGAAAGGGGCAAAACCCCAGGGACTGCGCGCGGCCTCCAGAATCCTGGCCCGGCGGGCCTGTGGCTCACTCGGGAGAGTGTGGTGCTGATAACACCAAGGCCACGGGTTCGGATCCTATATAGGGATGGCCGGTTAGCTCACTGGGTGAGCATGGTGCTGACAACACCAAGGCAAGGGTTAAGATCCCCTTACCGGTCATCTTTAAAAAAAAAAAAAAATGGGCAAAGGACTTGAATAGACATTTTTCCAACAATGATGTACAAATGGCCAATACTACATGAAAAGATGCTTAACATCACTCATCATCAGAGAAATGAAAACCACAATGAAATATCACCTCACACTTACCAGGATGATTAAAATAGAATCCTGACCCGGGAGGGATGGTGGCACTACAGCGCCACCTTCCGGGGGAGCCGGGTCGTGCTCTGGCTGTCCGCTGGGGCCGGAAGCCCGGGTTCCCACGCGCTGCTCGCGCTTCCCAGTTTTCTTCCCAGACGCCAGGCGGAGAAATGAGCTTGGGCGGGGGGCCGCCCCCGCGTCTTCCGGGGAACTCTGAGGCGCAGTCGGGCGCGGAGAGTGAACGCGCAGCGCTGGAGCCTGTGGACGCCGGAGATCAGACTCACTGGCCCGCAGCTCAGCTTAGGCGGGGCAAGAGAAAAGGGGGTGGTGGGCTGAGGGTAGGTGCTGGGTTCCCGGAACCCCAAGGGGCCACCGGGCTGAGGACAGGTCGCTCGGGATCCAGGTGTTCTCTCTTTTGGATGTTTGACAGTACTTCGTCTTTTCCATCTTGGAAAATGGTACCATCAGTAACCCCGTTGTGCAATCGTACCCCCGTTCCCTCACTTCATATTTCGTCTGACACCAAATCTGTCCAGTCTTCCGACTGTATCTCAGATTCAGTCACCACTCCTCCCGGTCCCTGCCTCTGTTTTGCTAGATCAGGCCGCCATCTTGTGACCAGACTATGAATAGCTTCCCATTTCCTGGCCTCCACTCGTAGCCTTTTTTCTCTGATGTGCAGCCAAGGCAATCTTTTACAAGAAACGTGATCATGTTACTCCTCTACTAAAATCCCTTTGGTCAGTGGTCTGGGACTTTGTACACTGTTGTATCCCCCAACATCTGATGCAGTGATTCAATCAACGTCTGTTGAGTGAGTGAATATGAAAGTTCCCCCTCTCATTCCTCTCTTGCTGGGCCCCTGCCCCCAAGCCAGGATGTTAGGCCCCATTATGGTTGTGGGTGAGGACACGCCGTCCCTCTGGCTGGTCTGGCACTGATTTTCACCCCGAACTGGTATTTCTTCTCTCCTTCCTCTTGGCCAACCTCTCTTCCACCAATATATATAAAGCCCAAACTTGAGGCTGGAGGGCAGTCATGCTTTTCATGGCACACCCTGTGGGGAGCCGGAGTCTGGGGCCCTGGGGCCTCCACAGCGCCCCCCAAGATCTGTACATGGTCCTCTTAGTAGTGCTGGTCATGATGAGCTCAGCGTTTGGTAAGTGGCTCCAAAGGGTCAGAAGGGTGCCCTGTCCTGCTGGATGGTTTCCCACAGACACCAAGTGTCTGGGTACATCTGCCAAGATGCTCAGGTAAACCCAGGCAGGAGAGGAGATGGCATGGGTGTGTTTGTGGGAAAATGCCTGGAGACTGCTAATGGACTGATGTTCACCCCAAGGAAGATTTCTAGTGACCTCCCCAGGGCTGTCTCACTCAACAGCAGTTGACCTGAATAGAATTACTGAAGGAATCTTCTCTGGATCTGAGGGCAACACAGAATAGGAAGGGTTGGAGAACATGCCAGATGATAGAACCAGAATCCACAGGGCAGAACAAGGCTGAATCCAGCTTGATAACTTCCTCACTTGGCTGCAAAGCACCATCTACAGACAAACAGGATTCAAAGAGTTTGTTTAGCATTTACCTCTGTCTCACACCAAGTGCTCTGCTGGGTCTGGGACTTGTTAACGTGTGGTCTGTGCCTGGGACTGGAGGAAGAAGGGGCTATAAATGCATGTAGTTGGGGAGGGAAGTGAAGAATGGTGGCTTTGGTGGACCAAAGTTATTATGAGTCCCAGTAACCAAAAACAATGTGGCCCTGGGCTGCTTAAAGTCTCCTGTCTACATGAAGCAGAGATTCTTTCTGTCTTGTGATGCACTCTTGTTTCTACTTCTGAACATTACAGATTAAGAAAGCATGTTCGGAAGAGAGTCCAGAGGGGTAGGGAACCAAGAAACCAAGTCACAGAGGAAGAACTGTTCTGACAGGGCTGCCCAGAGATGGAATGGGTTGCTTCGGTCGAACCTTTGGATTTAGAGGCTTGCAGAGTGCTGGGCACATGTGAGCCCCTCAAATACATGTTGAATGAATTGATGAGTGAATGAATTAATTAATGAGTTCCTCATCTCTGGAGGTATAAGATCGGATAGTAGAGATATTAATGAGAACTGAAGCTTGAAATGGAAGATTAAGCCAGATGGCTTTAAAGGGCTGGTAATTTTACAGTTTTCTGATATGGGGAGGTGGGGAAGGAACAATAGGGTCGATCAGCCTAGAAGCAGGCAGGCAGGGGTTTAGGGTCAGCGCTTCTTTGTGTTTTAGGTAAGCTTGTTCTTGTCAATCAGCAACCCCCTCAACCACTTCCGTTCCCCAAATACCTGCGCTGCTATCGATGCCTCTTGGAGACCAAGGAGTTGGGGTGTCTTCTGGGATCTGACATCTGCCTCACCCCAGCTGGTAGCAGCTGCATCACTCTCCACATAAAGAATAGTAAGCCGCCTTGTCCTCTCATGGGCCCAGCCCTCTCCCGAACTGAGCCTCTCCCAGCCTCCTAAGCTGCACCCCAATTCTTGTTCCCACAATCCTAAAACACTGGTCTATCACTGTCTCTCTTTCCTTTCCTTCAGAGTCACCGCCTGTCTCTTCTTCCACCCCCTTCCCCCTCAGCCTCTCAGGGCTCCCAGCCTTGAAGGGGACCCTGGAGATTTACAGATACACTGGGCTTTCCTCAAGCTGTCTACAACCCCATCTGTCAGCGGAGTTCCTGCTGGTGTCAGTCTTCTGCATCTTCCCCTGCTCCTTCACATGCGCCTTCACTGAGTCTTGTCCTTCTACTGCCTGACCCCTGATGGTTCATGTTCACTAAGGCTTGGTCCTTAGCTATCTTCCCATGTCATGCACTCTCCCCAGAGGATTTTATATGCTTCCCTGGCTTCAACCATCAGCCATATACTGCTTCCTCCCGAATCTGAGTGTTATGCCAAACTGCCCTCCTCATGTCAAATTGTCCTGAACATCTCCATCTCTTTTTTTTTGGCAGCTGGCCAGCATAGGGAACTGAACCCTTGACCTTGATGTCACGAGGCTGTGGCTAACCAACCGAGCTAACCGGACAGCCCCTCCATCTAATTTTGAACTTGCCAAAAATTGACTACATTCCCTCCTTCCTCATGCCTGCTCATCCACCAGATCCCCCACCTTTTTCAAATGAACAAAAACATAACACATGCTATGTGCCAGGCACTGTTCTAAGCACTTACAAACTGCCAAGGCAGCTATTATTATTATCCCCATTTTATGGATGAGGAAAAAGGTGCAGAAAGGTCAATAACCTTGTCGGAGTCTCACTGAGGCTGAGCCAGAATTTGTGGTGGCTCTAGAGATGGTGCTAGTAACAACCACTGTATGAAGCTGCCATCCTTCACGTCCTTTTATTATTATTATTATTATTATTATTTTTTGGCAGCTGGCCAGTACAGGGATCCGAACCCTTGACCTTGTTGTTACAACACCATGCTTTATCCAGATGAGCTAACTGGCCAGCCCTGTCTTTTCACTTTTTTTTAAAAAAAATTCTTTTTAGAGGTAGAAGTAATCTTTTTACTTTCTTGATTACCCTTTCTGCAATCTTTTTTTTTCTTTTTTTTTTTTTGGCAGCTGACTGGTACAGGGATCCAAACTCTTGATCTTGGTATTATCAGCACTGCACTCTAACTAACTGAGCTTTCTGCAATTTTGGAGGCACATTCCATCCTAAACAAGTATACTCTTTATTCTGTTTTCACCTCTTTTTGTCCCCCACGAACAGAACAGTAGCAGACCACAGTAAAAACTGTTCTGCACTTGCTTTTTAAACTTAACAGTTACGAGAACTCAATGTTTTCCTATCAGTTTGTAAATGACTTCCTTGTCGGTTGACCTGCTGCATAGTATTTCATGGCATGGGCATATCAGAGCTGACTGATCCATCCCACTATTAATGGGCATTTAGGTTGTTTCTAATTTTGTACTCTCTAAAGCTGGGCAGCAGTGAACATCCCTGTACAAGTCTTACAACATGGGCACAAAGATTTTTTCCCTCTCTAGTTATATAATAGCAGCAGATACCATAATTTTATTCTCTTACCTTTGATCTAGAAAACAAATGACAAACACCTCCTTTCTGCAATCCAACCTCCAATACACTTCCCCAACTTCTTACATGGTCCCACAGTACTGGTTCTCCCCACTTCACAAGTCCTGACTCAGTCCCCTCCAACTGTTACTAAGTTTCAAATGGCTCTTTCCCTCCAACCTTCCATGGGAAACTTTTAACAGAGTTCCATGGTTGGTGACTCCCTGGGCACTCTCCACCCCTGCCCAATTCTAGGAATTTTTTTTTTTTTTTGGTGGCTGGCTGGATAAGGAGATCTGAACCCTTGACCTTGGTGTTATCAGCACCATGCTTTAACCAAGTAAGATAACTGGCCAGCCTCTTTTCCTTTTTTTGGCCCAGGGCAGGGTATGGGGTAATGATGGAGTGAGGGGATAAGAGGATTTGGGGCTCTGCCCAGTGACCTCCATATCACTGGTGCCTGTGGTCCCTCCCCAGGCAGCGGTTCTGACATCATGGTGAGTGATTGCCGCAGCAAGGAGCAGATGAGCGATTGTTCATATACCCGTACTTCTCCGGTGCTTGGCTTCTGGATATTCTCTCAGTGCTGCTTCCGGGATTCCTGCAATGACCCTCAAAACAGAGTGTACTATATTCCCTAGGACTGTAGAGATCCTTGGAGTAAAATTCCACCAGTTTCCTGCCACTTTCCTGACTTCTGCCTGGGCTCAGCCAGGACAACTTCCAGTCCTCATACCAGCCTTCCCTGCCTCCCTCAAGTCACTGGACCCCAGCCCTGATTCTCTTCCTCTTGGCCAACGCCCCTCAACACCTCTACTCCTACTCGGTCCTCTCTTCCCCCAGCCTCTCTCTTGCCCCAAGTCCCCAGGCGTTCCCCCAAAATAAATTGTTATGCAAACTGTTTGGTCTGTCTCTTTCTTCTGGCAAAGGTGGAGGAGGCTGAGGGAAGTGGGCCTGCCCGACTGCCCCCTCATGGTGGCCTATAAGACGCTCTCAGTTCTGCTGAGCTCTGCTCCTGTCCTGCCTCAGTATCTAATTCACCTCTAGGCACAAAAAGGTGAAGAGGAACTGAAAACCCTCCTATGGTGAAGGCCAGGTTAGTGGGCTTCTTTGGTATTTTTTTTTGGAGGGGGAGGTAGGCATCCAAACCCTTGACTTTGGTGTTTTAACACTGTACTCTAACCAACTGAGCTAACCAGCCAGCTTGTTGGGCATCCTTGGAAGTGCTGTCAGACCAGAGCTGTGCAGGGGCTGAAGAGGAGGTCCAAAGGGCTGTGATGGTAGAAGGGGGGCTGTGAAAGGACCAGGAGGAATAGTTTAGGTTGGAAAGAAGGCCACTCTGGAAGAGCCATTAGGCTTAGTGGAATCCTGGTGTCTCTCATTCCCAGATTCAGCTTCCCTATTCCAGGACCTTGGCAAATTACTCATTTGGGGACTTGCGGTTTCTCAGCCTGAGTTCGACTTGCTAGAGCTATATAAACCTGAGCCTTTCTCATACTGAAGTCGGTGTTTATGGGGAAAGGTGGGCCCAGCAAGGGAGTAACTCACTGAGGGTTAGCTACTCTATACTTCCAATTACCTCACGACTTAAAGATTAACATGGGTTTGGTGTCCTCTGCCAGAACACAGACCATTCATTAAGGGGCCACAGAGATCTGTTAACGAGTATGCAAAATGTTGTGTAGGCAAGAGTGCATGCTGTATGACATTTCCATTGAGCTCACAAACCAAACTCATCTCAGCTGCTACAAGTCAGGACCATGGCTACCCCTGAGAGTTGAAAGTGCCTGGGAAGGGGCATGAAGGAAGCTTTGGATGCTGGTAAAGTCCCTTATGCTAACCTGGGGGATGGTTATATGGGTGTGTAGTTCACAAAAGCCCATCTTATGAACATGTGCAAGCTTCCGCATGTTTTGCCAAAAAGGTTTAAAAATAAATAGGCCTAGGCTAGCTGGTTGGCTCAGTTGGTTAGTGAGGTACTGAAAACAGCAAGGTCCAGGATTTGATCCCTATACTAGCTAGCCACCAAAAAAAACATTGTATGTCCACTTGTCTCTAAGGCACGTGTTGAGAGGGAAGAGGCCCTAACTCCCACCTATGTGTGCACATTCATGTGCATTCCCTCAAATGTATAAGGCACTATCTTGACTTGACAAGTGACCAAAGTGAGGCTGAAAGATCAACTTACCCAAGCGGTAGAGGAGCTGGGACCAGGCCACCCAGGCACAAAGCTGCACTGCTTTTCAGAAAAAGGTTTCATAACCCCAGCATGGGGATGTAAGACTCAGAAGGGCAGAGCAGACACCTAGCTGTACTCACCTGGGAATCCTGGTGCTTAACCTTGCCTGGCTCCGAGCAGTGTGTGCCCAGTGTTTACTGAATATATGGGAAAGATTGAATTGTATCCATTACTGCATGCTTGTAACTTTTTGAAAGTAAGTTAAAATGAAGAGCCAATTACTGCAGCCCTGTGTACCCTCTGCATTTCCCCCCTCAACTGACCCCCAGAGGGAGTCCTGGGTGCCAGGATCCTCAAAAAGAATGAAGGATGGGCAGGAGCCCAGGTCCCTCAGCACCAGATGATCTGAAATGTGGGTCTTGGCTCCTGATTTTCCCTGTTTTAAAGACAAAGTTCTTTCTTCTCTCTTAGGTGAAAAAAATCTGGCATCATCCGGTTTAACTTTCTAGCTTTTATATGGTATGCTTAAGGTTGGGAGCAGTCACACTCCTCATGCTTTGATCCCTACCTGAGCAAAGGATGGGGAAGTTTGTGGGCCCTTTGGGGCCAGCCCAGAGGAAGCCACAAAGTCCAAGTAGGCAGGGTCTGCAATCCCCTTTGAATTTCACACCTAATTAATTCTCTTTAACCTGTCTACACCTGCCCACACCTGAGCATGACCCCATAAACAATGTGACACAGATTTAGCCCAGTCCCAGTTTATTATGGAAGGAAACGGGGGACGTGGAGCAGAGCAGGACAGACCCTCCCCTCTCCTCTCACCAGGCACTTATGGAGGTGGGTGTTGGGACTCAATGAGGTGAAACGTGGCTAAGTAGGGTAGAGACTGTGACAGGAGAGGACAGAAAGCAGCAGACCAGAAGAGGAGAGGGGGTGGTAGAGTCAGTGAGGCAGGGACAGCCAGTTGTCAAGTCAGGAAATCTGCACAGAAGTCTAACCTTCATCCTACTTGCTGCAAGTTCAGTGTGGCACTGGGTCTCAGAGACAGGAATAAGACAGGGGATACAGAGCCAGATCTGAATGGAAGTGGCAGGTTACCAGATTGAGAGGGGATGAGGAGATGATGGAATGCTAAGACGATGGGAAAGGCATGAAGGAAACCATTGTGCCTTTCCCAGGTTAGCCAGGGGCAGAATCCACACTTGAGATTCTTTTCTAGAAGGAAGGAAGAGCAGCATTGGGATTCAGGAGAGGAAATTAAACCAAAGCCATATAGACACTGAAGGCACAAAGGGAGACCTAAGAAATCATAGTGACCAGAGAACGTGTGTGTTCTCAGAGAGGGCAGTGCAGGATGGTAGAACAGGGTGGAATCTGGGAAAGGTAAGGTGTCAGGGTACAGCCCAGGGAAGAATTAAAAGTCCGGAACTATTGAGGAATAAGTACATGCGGCGCAGGTCAGCAATGGACAAGCCCAGTTTCAGGGGAAGGGCGGCCATGGAGTCCAGGCCTTCAGGATCCTTCCCAGCATGGAAGGTGGGTAGGGGCAGTGAGAGGTTCAGGGCCTGGTAGAACCACTGAATCTGGGAGTCAGACAGAGGCAGGGGCAAGGTCCTATGAGGCAGCTCAGACAGGGAGCTCTGGAGCTGGGGGCTGGACCAGGAGTTGCAGTAATCATACTGGCAGCACTGGGCCTGATACCAGTACTTCGAGAAGTAGGTGTTGCGTTTTTCTTGGCAGCGGTAGGAATTGTATTGTCCACAGCCTCGAATGTTGAAGCGAACCTTGATATCTGGAGGAGAGGGGACAGCAAATAATCCTGCTAATAGCCTCCCATAGTCCCCAAAACTGGCACCCCTACCACTGACTCTCCCCATCCCTTGCCCAGACCCCATGTCTATCCCAGACTTCTTCAGAAGAGGCCAGAAAAATTAGCTCAGCTGGTCCCCCAGTACCCTAGACCCTTCCTTCCAAGATCCTTCAGCCTTCTTCTTATAACCTAGGCCCCAAGTAGCCCTCATCTGTGAGAGGAGAGAAGACCAAGCCATAGGCTGTCCTTCTGGCAGCCCCTTCCTGGGACTATACTCACCATAAAAGATGGAGATCACCATGCATGGGGATGAGCTGCTGATGGTACACTTCTCTGAGCCTGAAATGCATCCTACAGAAGGGTCTTCTAAGAGGCAGAAGTGGCAGGTCCGGACTTCAGGAACAGGAACTGGGAAAGCAGGAGGGGTGGAAGCACTGGCTCACTCCTAAGTCCCCTGCCCTGCAGGGAGCCCTGAGCTCCACCCTTTTCATGGACTGTCACCCCTTCCTCCCTGCCCCTGGCCCCACTTACCCTTTCCTACTGCGAAGCCCACAATGACCAGCATACCCACAAGCATATGGGCCTTCATTATGGAATTCTGAGGAGAGGGGCAGTTCATGAGGGATGCCCTGAAACCCCACCTTCCTGTGGCCATGCTCCTTGATCCTCAGCTGCAGGGTGGTTTTGACGGCAGTCTGAGCAGGAGCTGCTGTAGGTACAGACCTATATTCCTGCTTGGGGCAGGATCCTGGCTGGGAGGAAGTTATTAACTGAGCAAAAGGGACAGTGTGTCCTCACCCACAAGGTCTGGCTCCTGAGTGTGGGAGCAGTGGCCCAGACAGGGGCAATACCTGGGCACCACCTGGGCCTTTGTCCAGTTATCTACCTTTGTCCTGCATGCCAAAAACCTATTCCCTCTCCTGAAGAGTCCACAGATTGGTATCTGTCTCTGGCACCATCTGCTGTCCTCCCATGATAGGACCAGTCCCCACTGTGTTGGGAGAAACTGGCCAGGGAACCAAGAGTCCCCATCCTTCTGAGATGAGCATGTCTCAGGTCCTCCAATAGGGAGCACACAGACACCACTGAGTAATTCTGGACTTTGTCCCTCTTCTCTCCACCCCTTATAGTTCTATTTATTTCAGGAGTGCTTTCACTTTAAAAACAAAACTGAAAGACAGTGCTGCTGATTAAGACCCTTAGCATATAAGCAAACATCCACAGATGCTCAGAGAGAACAAATACTTCTCTAGTCTTTAAAACCTCACTTTTGTGAGTCTTTTCCTTCTGACCTTGCACTTCCCCACACTGTCCTAGGAATTCTGCTTTTCTCTATACCAAAAACATCACCGAAATCCACTGGGCACAAATCTGTGCTGGTTTTCAACCTGGGGAGGGTAGGCTGGGCCATGAGGGCCCCTGGGGTCCAGCATACCACCACTTTTCCATCCCCGACCGCAAGCACCAGCAGACTGGCTCATGGCCTTTTCTTCCACTTTATTTCATATTCCCACCACAATAATGACTCCTTTAATTTAAACTAAAAACCATAGGGGGTTCCTGAAATGGCGGCAGCAAAGGAACGGAGGTGTCAACAACTGAGGGACAGGTGGGGTGGGAAATCAGCGAATCGTCTTGACTGGGCTCTTGAAGTTGCTGGCGGCTTGGAGCTGCAGCTGGTAGGCCATCGGATGGATCTTGAAACCGTAGAGCCTGGGCCAGGACAGAGGTCAGAGAAGCAGCAGGGTGAACCCCTTCCTGGCCCTGCCACTGGTCTGCATTCCCGCATTCCCACCTTCCTACCCCAATTCCTCCATGGGCCTGCTCAACGCTTAAGGGCAGTGGTTCCAAAACCTCCTCACTTAAGAATATTTGGAAACATATCTTAAATATCCATTAAAACTCAAATTCCAGGAGATATACAAGGGGTCTTCAAAAAGTTCAGAGTGGCTGGCCAGTTAGCCCAGTTGGCTAGAGCACAGACTTTTAACACCAAGGTCATGGGTTCGGATCCCTGAACTGGCCAGCCACCAAAAACAAAACAAATAGAAAAAGTTCACGGAAAGGCTGGCTGGTTAGCTCAGTTGGTTAGAGCATAGTACTGGTAACACCAAGGTCCGGGGTTCCATCCCTGTAGCAGCCAGATGCCAAAAAAAATTCCAAAAAAACCCACCCAAACTAAACCAAACCAAATCAAAACAAAAATGTTCATGGAAAGATTTGTATTATCTTTTAATTCCATTTTTCCACAAACTTTTTGAAGTACCCTTGTATATCAGTAGTTGTTTTCAGTATGAAACTGAATCTTTCCTCCCAACAAAGTAAAAATCATCCTCTAGGAAGAGGAACCATGCTTAAACTGTAGATCTGAGAATCTCCTGACAAAAGGTTGAGCACCCAGGATGATGAGAATAACAGATATCATTTAAATGATGGTCCAAGTGCCAAACATTATTCTAAACAATTCACACATTTAAAGATACTCTGTCAGGCAGGTACTGTCATCATCCCTGTTTCCTGGATAAGGAAACTGAAGCAAAAGCAATCAAGTAACTTTTCCACAGTCACTCAGCAGTAGAAATCCTGGCTTGGGAGAAGGTCTCGAGAAAGAGCCATGCCTTGTCCTCCCTTCTCTCCGGGGGATCTTGGGCCTTTCCTTTGATATCTGACTCTGTCCCTGCTCCCTACCTGGGCACAAACTGGTTGGCGGGTCGCTTAGGCCGGTACTCAGGATGCACCATGAAGAGCATGTGAGGGAAACCAGTGCCGAAGTAGGCACCATCTGTGTGATGGTGCCGCGATGACTTGGGTGTGTACACGTCCATGCACTTGGGGCAGTAGAGCTTCACCATGGCCTCGCCTGGGATGTCTGAAAGGCCTGGGAGACAGCCAGACTCAGCAGACCAGGCACTCCCCAACCCTACCCAACCCCCCCCCGCCACGAGTCAGGTCCCAACTTGCTAAGCCCCAACTCCTTCCCAGAGGACTGCCATATGGTGCCCTCCTCTCCTTCAACACTTACCAATGGGAAGCATTGGCTGGTTCTCACAGTACACACGGGGACAATAGCCAAAGTCTCCCTGCTGGTACTTTTCCAACTGAGGTGAAAAAAATGGAAGGGGTTGGCGGATAGGTGTGAAGAGAAGATGCAACTCCCTCCACAGCCCAACCCACATCACTCTGTCCCCCACTCCTCCTGACTCAATCCAGAGGCCCTTTCTCTGGCTCAGATGAGCTCTTGGACTCCTCTGCTGCCTCTCCTCCAGTTAGGCAGGCTGAAGACCATCAGATCTGTTAGCTACTTGTTCCCTGAGGAAGAGGCAGTCTATAACTCCCTGTCCAAGGTCATGTCTCTCTTCTTGAAAACACCCTCTTCTGCATGACCCCCCATCACGATTCAATTCCCAGGCCCAGAAACTGGGCTTCTTTCCCTCTTCTCAGCTAGACACATTGACAAAGTTCTTCTTGCTGAAGGAAACTGTTCCCCTACTGCCTCAAGAGTCAAGTGGGAGCAGAGAGGCCTCACCATCTGGGCGATGCCACGGTTGGTGAGAATGTAGCGGGCGTGGATTAATCCATAAAGCATCTCAGCTGCCTGCTCAATCAGGTCACTCTGGTTGGGGTTGTCTTCCAGCTCTTCATCTGAAACACGGCAGGCCAGCCGAATGCAACCACTTGTTTTTCAGCTTTCCTAGGTGCTCCGCCCACCCCCAGGGTCTGCTGGCTACTCAGTTTGCCTAGCACCCACCTTTGAGCTGCACCCCATCCATCATCTGGGCATTTGACCCACAAACCTGGGCGTCTGACCCCTCCTCCAACCCAAGGCAGCTCTGCTTTTTCTCCACACCTCTTCAGCCTCTGCTCTCTTCTCTCCCTCCCAACTCCCTCCTTAACACATAAATGCAAAGATATCAATGCAGTAGGTGGAACTCTAGACTGGAAGGTGCAAGGCAGAAGAAAGAGACAGTAAATGAGACCCATAAACTGGTATTATGGAACAAAGGTGAGTTACAGATTCAAAGTATGGGAACAAGTCATGTAAGTCACAAAACTAAACAAGAGTTGGGGGGGGGGCAGGTCAAAAGAAACCAAGGGATTTGGGGTTAAAGGGAGTTGGAGAACCAAAAGAAAATTTAGAAATTCAAGAATCAAGTAATAGAGATTTGAAGGGGAAAAAAAGCACACACACACAACCACTCTGAGGGTGCCTCACCAGGCTCCAGGTCCAAGATCATGTCTAGAGCTTGTCGATAGTGAGGCACCTGCTCATTGAGTCCAGTAAGATTAAATTTGTCCTGGATGTAGTCTTCATCCACCTGTCAGGACATGGAATGGGAACCATATCGAAATCCCCAGCTTTGACCTGGGTGACATGCTTTAACTTATGCTTTAATACAACTGCAGCTGTTCCTCTTGTTTCCCAATCCCAACCAAGCAGAAGTATTTGAGTGTTTCTTTCCAATTCACATACACCACCTCCAGTAAAAGCTTTGGCTTTTCTAAGAACAAGCAGGTACAGCAACCTCCTCCTTAAAGAGACATCCCTTTCAATATCCTGGTCCCTACTCCTGCCTCCCATCTCTAGGAACCAGTTTTGTCTTCTCTTTAGGGACGAGGGCTCTCTGAGGGAGGTGGAAGCTAAAAAGCTTGGTTTCTGAAGGCCGTTAGAATCTGTTATGTTAACACAGAGCTTTGCAGATGCAATATTTCAATTCTCCTAAAAGCCACCTGCGATGTGTACTACCAGTACCATTCTACTAATGAAAAAAGGACATAGGACCTAATACACTTACTACTAGTACCAATCTAGTAATAAAGAAAGAACACAAGTTGACTAGTCTAATGTTACGTTGCCGGAGGGTGGCAGGGTTGGGACTTGGACCTCAGTCTTGCCACTTCACCACAGGTTAGTGGAGGGTTACTGAAGGGACCCTTCCTTGACAGATAGGAGTTTACACAGAAGCACGTAAGAGAATTGTGTAGAAGCTGAATATGTAGGGGAACGTCTGGCCAATCTGTGGAGCTGGCAAGTAGGGAGGTTGAAGAGAACTCACTTCACAGAAAAACTCATTGCCACGAAGCCCACAGAACCAGGAAATCCAGGATACCTCCTCCGAGCTGCTCATCTTTACGTCAGCTGGGAAAAGAGTGTAAATAAAGTTCAAGCTCTCCCTGCCTGCCTGGTGTCCTCCCTCCTCCCACACTTTGCCCTCCAACCACGGAAGAATTTGGGGCTACCCTTCTTTAAAGGATCCTAGACTCTGGAGCACCCCTCTCCAGCTCCTCTTGTTTACGCCTCAGCCCCCTTCCCTGAGATTAGAAATTCTTTGGGGTCTACTTGTGAGAAGCCGGTAGGTATTGACCCGCCGGTGCTGCCCGCATTCCTGGAGCTCCCGAAGGCCAGGCCCCTCTCCCCTGTGTGTCAACTCCGGCAGGGCCTTCGGCTTGGGCTCCCTACCACCGAATGTCTCTGCATGTCCCTGGCGCCTTTCCCAAGGTTCCGAAGTTTATCCTTCCCAAGCAAGTGCTGAGCACCTCCTTCTCTCACTCCCTGGAGATGTCCATCAGGTCCCTTTCACGAAGTCCCCACATCCTGCCTCCGCCCCTCAGGTTACCCGTCCCTCTCAGGCCACTCGTCCCTCCTTCGGTGGCGGACCGGGTCACTTCCTTCCCCGCCCCCACATCTAGGCGCGGAGACCCCATGTGCCGCGTCCAGAGAGAGGGGACTCGAAGTGGCGACGACCTCAGACTCACCACCTGAACGGGACCAGGACCGGGGTGGGGGAGGGGAGTTGCTACTTCCAAGGAACGGCGGCAACCGCTATAGCTCAGGCCACGAACCCGACCGCGGTAAGCGAAGTGGGATGGGGGAGTGGAAATTGGGGAGGGCGGGGAAGAGAACAACGCGCAAGCGCCAAGGGTCGGGCGCCGCGGTGGGCGCCGGGAGACGGAGTCTCCGGTGGGGAGAGAAACTGGCGACACAAGAGAAAAGTGAACTACGAATCCCAGAGTGACCCGCGCACGACCTTGGTGTCGCGAGGCCCCCTAGGTAGACGCTTGGGGGCGGGGCGCAGCGAGGCGCCACCGGAAGCGGAAAACAAGTACGACGTTCGGGGCCAGGGAGCCTGGGAAATATAGTCGTTTTCTGACTGAACGGAGGGGCCAAGAGGGGGCGGGGAAAAGAGCGAGCCCGGCGGGATCCCTCTCTGCCGCTCCCCTCATACACTTCCTCTCTGGTACCCGCGCAGCGCTGCTACCTAGGGTACTGGCCCCATCCCCGGCCAATCCGCCGGGTCCTTATCGTCTATGAGGCCCCTCGTCCAAGTCAGGCTTGCCACTGGAGAACCCCGACGGGGCCCATATTCCACCGCGGGCTCCGGCCCCCTGAGGCCGGGAGGCGCGGCTGGACTCGGTGCTTGAGGGACCTGGGTCAGATGTACTGGGATGAGCTGAGCGGTATGAGAACCGGGACGGCCCAGCGTGCTAACCTGAGGTGGCGCCAGCCATTCTGCTGCTCGTCCCCTTGCACTTCTCTATTTCCAATTAGGGCTTGAAAGGGAACTTCTGCTGCGGGCATTAAGTTTGGCCTTCGAACCCTGGTCAGAGTAATGGTGGGGGGCAGCGTGACGTTACTTCATTTCATAGCTTCTCGGCATTCCACAGGTCTCCCTCCGCCTCCTCGGGACCTTTCTTAACTCAGAGTGGTTTCCCAGCTCTAGAAAATGAGTTTGGAGCGGGGGCCACGTTGACGGCGGAGAGGGGCATTGTGGGGCGTAAAAGCAGGACCCCAACCGACAGCGCCTCCTTGGTCCTCGCGCTCCCTGGACACGCGGTGCTCTCCGCGTATGCTATTGGAAAGGTGCCAGGGCGGGAAACAACCCGGAGCTTTGCGTTCGCCGGCGCCTCCAGCGGTGTGTGGGTTTGTTTTGTTTTTTTTTTTTCTTTTGCCACGCATGCGTGTTAGTGCCGAGTGGCTCTGTTTCAACTCTTTTCATTACAATAGCGCCATTTTGCGGTACGGAGGCTACAAGGCAACGTAAACGGGAACCTCTCTCCAAAGTCTTCCGGAGAAGTGTCTCATCAGTTTTTGTTTGGGAAGAAATCTCGAATTAGGATCGAGGAAGATTTAGGATCGAGGGCGATTTAAAGGACCAAGCTGATTTTCGTACTGGTATGCTTACGGAGTGGGAAAGTGGTTTCAGGAAGAGGTTGGTATTATTTATTGTTGGTGGGGACGTGGGTGGAGGCGGAACTCAGGGTCTCTGAACAGCTGTCTCATGGAGGTTTCTTTATTAACCTTTATTAAGGGGTAGGGTCTGTTATTGTGGGGTTCTGTGTTTTTGCACGTGACCTATGGCTCTGTAGGGTCCTAGGTTGTGGGGTTACATTTAGGACAGGAGAGTGTTTTTGACTCTAAGGCTACTGCTCCTCATCCAAGAAGGTCACTGAAGGTGGCTCTGGTTACTACAGGGGTCAGCGGGATTGTTGGCTTGCTTGTCTTATTCTCCTCTTGCCTAGTCTTATTTTCTCAGTTCTCTCAAAAGCTATGCCCAGGCCCTCCTTCATCACCTTCACCCCAGCCACTGACCCCAGCGACCTCTGGAAGGACGGGCAACAGCAGTCACAGCCTGAGGAGCCAGAGCCCATCCTGGATGGGGCTGCAGCCCGGGCTTTCTACGAGGCCCTGATTGGGAATGAGAGCAATGCCCCTGAAGCCCAGAGATCTCAGCCTGAACCTGCTAGGGAAAGAAAGAGGAAGAAAAGACGAACGATGAGGGAGACTGCAGCAGAAGCAGTGACAGCAGGAGCATCAGGAAGACATGGACAAGGGAGATCCCTTGAGGCCGAGGACAAGATGACCCAGTGGATACTGAGGGCAGCCCAGGAGGGGGACCTGGCAGAACTTCGAAGGCTTTTGGAGCCCCATGAGGCGGGGGGAGCTGGGGCAAATATCAATGCTCGGGATGCTTTCTGGTGGACCCCCTTGATGTGTGCGGCCCGGGCGGGCCAGGAGGCAGCTGTTCGCTATCTCCTGGGCCGTGGGGCTGCGTGGGTTGGGGTCTGTGAGTTGGGTGGCAGGGATGCTGCTCAGCTGGCTGAAGAAGCAGGATTCCCCGAGGTGGCTCGCATGGTCAGGGAGAGTCACGGAGAGACAAGGAGTCTGGAGAACTGGTGAGAGGAAGTCTTAGCCCATACCTGTCTTTCAGTCTGTTCTGCCCTTCTTATCTACTCTACACCAGAGGCCCCAGAACAGAGCTGAAGGGTTCTTCCTCATCCTGCAGTGTAGGTGGATAAGGTAGTGTTGTAGAGTGGTCATGAAAATGAGCTCCCTGGGTTTAAATCCTGGTTCCACTTACTTGGGCAAGCAGCCTAATGTCTATGTGTCTCAGTTTCCTCATCTGAGAAATGTGGTTTATAAGAGTACTTTTCTCATAGGATTATTAGAGTTAATGGGTTAATGTATGTAAAGTGTTAGAACAGTGCTTGCCACATAGTTTGCACTATATAAATATTAGTTATCATCATTATTGTTATTTCTTTGCTCAAGAGCTTTTGCAGATTGATTACCATCTCTTCTCCCAACTGTTCCCCTCTGGGTCCCTCATTGCTAAATGGAGAGGAAGGCAATTTGTTCCTTAGCAGAAAAGCTGGAAGGATCCTATCCTACCCTGTCAGCCCCCTTTGAGATCTCGATTCTTTCCCTTTCCCTGCCCTTAACTGTTTTTTCTTTTTTCTTTTTCTTTCTCTGCAGGTCCCATTCCCCCTCTCCCCAGTACTGTGAAACCTGTGATGCCCACTTCCAAGACTCCAACCACTGCACATCCACTGCTCACCTGCTGTCACTGTCCCGGAGTCCCCAGCCCCCCAGCCTTCCCCTTGGGGTGCCCACCTCCAGCCCTGGCTTCAAGCTGCTGCTGAGGGGGGGCTGGGAGCCGGGAATGGGGCTGGGACCCCGGGGTGAGGGCCGTGCCAACCCCATCCCCACTATCCTCAAGAGGGACCAGGAAGGATTAGGCTACAGATCAGCACCCCAGCCCCGAATCACACACTTTCCAGCTCGAGATACCCGAGCTGTGGCTGGTACAGAGAGAGCCCCTCGGGTGGCCACACTGAGCTGGAGGAAGGAGAGAAGGCAGGAAGAGAAGGACAGGGCCTGGGAGCGGGATTTGAGGACATACATGAACCTTGAATTCTAACCTTGGTGAAGTCTGACCCTGGTCAGCTGCTGAAGTCTAATCTTGGGCCTCTGACTTGGGCACTTTGACTTCTGCGTCCTAGGATCTGCCCACGTGCCAGACCCTCAGATTTTGGTCAGTGGGCTCTGCCTTTGGGGGAGAGGGTCTGAGAGTTGAGAAATAAACCATACTTCTTTTTCTTTTGTGATTTATTCACTTTTCTGGAAGCTGTTGCCGGGAAGCCAAACAAGCTGGGGACCACGTGTAAGTCCCACCTGAGGAACCAGAAGGGGCAGCCTCTCCAGATGGCATATAGGGTCACCTCCTTGCCAGTCTGGGTTCACTTCCAGGTCCTAGTCCCTGCTGGGAATGCACTGCCTATTTCAAATCCCCTGAACCAGGAATTGCCCAGCTCCATGTAAGTCTTAAACTTCCCCAGCAAGGGTCCCCTGACCACTCCAGCCAATTCAGTCACTGGTTTCACAAACAAATTCATTTACTATGTGCTAAGAATATGAATAAAAGACATTCCCAACACTCAGTGAGCTCACAGCTGCAGGGGAAGACGGCTACGTGGCCAAATATTATAATTTATGGTGATAGGGGAAGTCAGGAAAGGCCCCCAAAGAAGGTGATGGGAATGGGTAGGGTCTTGCTGGAAGAGGCCAGGTTAGTAGGAGAGCGTGAGGTTATCGTACGCTGGTAGTTGGGCTGGGGCCAGAACTCGGGCCTCCCAAATCTGAACTTTAAATCAAAGTTTGTCAGTTCACTACCTGAAAACTGAGAACAGGAAGTACATCCTATTTGTCTGCACTTTCCACACTTGCCTACATTCTCACTCCCTTGTCTTGCTCATACCAGGTGCTAGGCACGAAGAGCTCACTGTTGTCAAATTAGGGAAGTAAAACCTGCATGGAGGAGCAGGGAGGGCTGCTCTGATCCCAAGACTTCCCCCCTCATTTTCCTTTCTGGAAAAGCCTTTCATGAAGTCATGGACGCGAAATGGAGGAGTGGTGGAGGATGTGGAGAAGAACCCAAGTGCGGGGGAGCTGTAGGGGACAAGAGAATTTAGGGGAGCACTGGAGGCCTTTGGGGACTCTGGGTAGGCGAAAATGGAGAGCTGCGTTCATATTCAGATCGTGGCCCTCGCTGATCTCGGCTCCGCGTCCTGTGGTATCACGCGAGCTGAAAGCGCGGGGGCACAGGGGCGGTCGATCCGCAGGATCCGCCCCGCAAGCTGCTGGCTCCGCCCCCGCCTGTCCCTCCCGTCCCGGTGCAGCTGCTTCCGGGCTCCGCGGCTCGGGGTGGCTCCGCGAGGCCGCGGCCCCGACTCTGGGCCCGGGAGGGGCCACGCGCACAGCGCCGCGACGCCTGGCTCCCCCGATACGCCCGCGCTTTGCCTTGCCACGGGGATCTCCGAAGACATCTCCGTTCTGACCTTGCGGAGGTAGCGTCTGCTGCGTGCTCAGAAGCCGGTCGGGCCACTTTGTGGGAATCTTAGCCCCTGAAATCAAGGGACGAACGCTGCTGGCTAGAGTTTGCTGGACATCTTCATCCCACCTCCCAACAGAGAGACTACCTATTCCTTGAGCTCTCTTAGGCAGCAGTTTATGAGTCCCCAGATTCAGGAGCGCCTAAACTCAGGGTCGCCTTCCTTCTTTCTTGGATGGAGCACCGCGTCCCCAGTTTCTGGGGCACCTTGTGGCGTGGCCTTGGTGAGTGAAACTTGGGGTGCTGCCTGCTGGGAAGGAAGTCCAGAAACACCAAGAGGACACTCTGAGGGTGACCCAGGAGGCCTTGTCAGATCCTGAGACTCTTGGAATCGTGTGTGTGGGGTGGTGGTGGTGAATGAATTGGGTGTGCCTATTTGCCACACTTGAGACTGCATGACCATTTGGGGAAGTGAGGAGCCACTACTGAATTTAGAGTAAGATGTCATCACCAAACTAATATGCGTTCTGAGCCTGAACAGATTCTGATTTCTGAGGAGACGCTGAGAGTCTAAGCAGTGCTTGTAAGCTGCCCCAGAATTTGGGGACTCATTACACACCTCAACCATGTTCCTGCGACGACTTGGTGGCTGGCTCCCTCTCCCCTGGGGCCGTCGGAAACCAACGAGGCCTGACCCACCTGCCTCAGAACCCAGACAGGTGGACAGCTCCCCTGAAACTTCAGGGAGTGACTGGGACAGTGCCCCAGAAACCATGAGAGGTGTGGGGCCTCTCAAGACTAAGGATTCAGGGGTACCAAGGAGCTCTGGGGCTGCTCCAGAACCAAGCAGGGAGTCCCGAGTTGAGCAAGTGGGGAGTAAAAGAATAGATTCCCTCAAGTGGGACAAGTCTGTCTCTAGGGCTCAAGAGTCTGGAAGGCTGAATGCTGGAGGGGCCATTCCCAAACTGGGATGGGATCCTGTGGATTCAGGCAGCACCAGGAGACCCAGGGTGTCACCTGAAGGGGGACTGAGCACTCCTGGCCCTGAAGCCCCAGTGGAGAAACCCAGCCGGCATCAGAAGCTGCTGGGCTGGCTGCGGGGGGAGCCAGGGACTCCCTCACGGTACCTGGGGGGCCCAGAGGAGTGTCTGCAGATCTCCACCAACCTGACCCTGCACCTCCTGGAGCTGCTGGCCTCAGCCCTGCTAGCGCTGTGCTCGCGACCGCTGCGGGCAGCCTTGGATGCATTGGGCCTGCGTGGGCCTCTGGGCCTGTGGTTACATGGGCTGCTGTCCTTCCTGGCTGCCCTGCATGGGCTCCATGCTGTGCTGAGCCTAATTACTGCCCACCCCCTGCACTTTGCCTGCCTCTTTGGCCTCCTGCAGGCCCTAGTGCTGGCTGTCAGCCTCCGGGAGCCCAGTGGGGATGAGGAGGCCACTGACTGGGAGGGTGAGAGGTTGGGGAGAGAGGATGAGGAGCAGAGGGGAGACCCAGGAAAGGGGCTGTGACCATGGGGTGGGATGGGGGCAAAGGGTGAAGAAAGTGTGGCCTTTAGGAGGAGAGTGGGGGGCATGACCAGATTGTAGGCACGGAGACCTCAGGGATGGGGAAGAAACCCCAGAGTATGAGGGCTCAGGGCCCCCCTTCACACAAAGGAGAGAACAAAGCTTATCTAGGGTGTCTGTTTATGGACAGTGGGGGCATCGCCCTTAGATTCACCAGCTGTTACTTTTTGCTTTTACATTTCTCCCACCTCCATTTTTTTTCCACCTCTACTTTTTAAAAGCCAAAAAAAAAAAAAAAAAAAAAAAGTGTGGTGGTGGAAGAAAGACCAAAGGGTCCTCTCTACCTTTCAACATTCCCCAGGGGTGGAGGAGACCAGAGGCAGGACAAGCAGACCTCGGCAGTAAGAGGGTGGTTGGAAGACCCAAGGGATCCTTTGGGTCTTGGGATGTGACCCATCTAGGGAAGAGTGGGGCTACTACGTGGGTGGACTAGGGGGTCTGGGTCCAGATGGAGGCCCACAGGTGTCAAGGAGCCTGCAGGGATGATCTGGTGCCCAAGGAAGAGAGAGGGAGTGGGAATGGTGCAGGCAGTATTGGCGGGAGGGCCAGCTGAGAAGGGCTGGCAGCTCAGACAGGTAGTGTGGGAGAAGCACTGGAGCTATAGTCCCCACTCAGGCACTAGGGATTTGCTCACTCAGCAATAAACGTGTCACACCAAATCCTAAATATACCACTACAAAATGAGAGTTACTGCCACTCAGTGTCCTTCCTGATGCCATCCGGAGGGGTGTCGAAAGTGGGGGAGTGGGATTGATGTCTGGAGACAAACCCCAGGATGAGATGAGGAATGAAAAATCATCTTTATTATTCTTGAAAAGGAGTCAGAAGTCTCCATCTTCTCCCCCTCTCAACAACTCAGCTCCCACTGTATCCATCTGGGGGCAGATGAAGTGACAGGTCAGTTACTGTACAGTTTGCAGGCCTCTGTGATAGGAAAGGGAAAAAAGAAGAGGATGGAAAGGAAGTCTAGGGAGAAGCAAGGGGTGGAGGAGAATGTGTTCCTTCACTTCCCTGTGTCAAAGAAGGGTTCTCTGAGGCCTTTCCCCTCCATTTCTGACCCTCTGCCCACTTTATCTGCTGCAAACTCAGCAACCTCTTTTGAGTAGCCTAGAGTCCATTCTGGCTCCCCCAGGTGACATCACAGTTCTTAGTCACATCCTTCTGGTGCCATCAAAGCCTATGACAAATGGAGGTGTCAACACAGCCACTCCGATGATGTCAGCCTTTGGCCATGCTCTCTGGTGACATCACATGAGCCTCTTTCAGCCGGCACCCCCAGAAGACCTGGTGAGTCCTAGTTCTCTTCTGTGAGACTTTAACCCCTCACCTTGATTCCTGGGAGTCAGTAAGAAGGCTTTGGAGTCCAGGCAGGAGGTCAGGGACTGGAATTCCTCTACACATTTCTCAGGAGGGTGTGGTGAACGGTCTGGAAGGATAGGGTGGGGCCAGGCCAGTCAAAGCCCCTGCTTCTTTGCACCACCCCTAGAGAGGACCGCATGGAAGTACCAGCCCTTCCTGGGATGATGTCATAGGGCACAGTGAGGGGCTCTCCTGCCTTCCCTTGCTTCCTTCTGACCCTTTCTGCCTTGTATCCCCACTCACTGTAGAGGAGAAAGCGCTGATAGCCTTGGCCTGTCTCCTTCAGCATGATTCCACCTGGGCATGAGCTGGAGTAGAGCTTGGTCTTCATGTCAGGGCGGCCTGTCAGGTGGGTGGAGGGGATGTGTGAGGACACAGATGCAAAACCAAGCTCAGGAGACTCAGGGAGGGTGAGGGCTGGAGAGAACAAACCTTCGGTTCTGAGATCTGTGCTCCCTTCAGTCAGGTGGTAGATCCATTTCCGGGGCACACAGAGCCCATTTTTCCTGCAGAGGTGATGGTGGCAAGGAGAGTGTAACCCCAACCACACAGTACCAGTTTCTATTTATTTTATCTTATTCCTTCTTGAAACCTGGCTCCCCTTGGGTTTCAAACTACGAAGGGGTGGTTAGGCCCATCTCTCTTCAGAGCACAACTAATAGAGCTATTGAATTAAGTGGGCCAACAATAGTGGATATGAGGGTACTTCAAAAAGTTCATGGAAAGGGGGCTGGCCCGGTGGCGCACTGCTGTAGTGCGCCACTTGGGAAGTGCGGTGGCACTCCCGCCGAGGGTTCGGATCCCACATACAGACCGGCTGCTCACTGGCTGAGCGAGGGGCGGGAGCAACACCGAGGGTTGCGATCCCATGGCCGGTCCTGGTCCGGTAGGGGCGCGACACTGAGGGTTGCGATCCGTTGCCGGTCACGAAAAAAAGACAAAAAGGAAAAAAAAAAAAGTTCATGGAAAGATTCATATTATCTTTTAATTCTATTTTTCCACAAACTTTTTAAAGTAACCTTGTACTAGTCAAGAGCCCAGCTCTTGGAGTGTGGGTGCTCACACTTTGGGCAGACTGCACCCATTGGTGCCTCTGCCTTCTCACCACTCACATGCGGATGGTAGCGTGAAGCTGGAGCTGCATCGGAGCAGAACCAGCAGCCATGTTGAAGACAATGTTGTCCACAGGATCAAAAGTTGCCAACTCCTCCTTGGTGGGAGCTGCCCCTGCGATAAAGTACCACCGGCCCAGGTGGGGCTCTGGGAACTGGAGAGACAATGAGGGGAACAAAAGAGAGGGTGGGCCACCCCAGGATCCATCCAACCTCTTCATCAGTCAGGACAGCAAGACTTGGGGGTGGAGGTGTTGGCTGCCTTCCTCTTTCCAACTGGGGCTTAGATCCATAACAAGGAGTCACTAAATGGCTTTTCCTCTTTGCCCCTCCCCAGTCAACCTAGGTAACCACCCTACCCCTCAATTCTGCCATGTCTCCACGCTGATGGCCACAGTATTGGTATTTTTATTGCAAGTGATTTTTGTTTTTCATCACAACACTCAAACCTTCTTCCTCCCTTCTTTTCCCAGCATGGCTTATGGTCATCCTAGGTCACCCACCCAAGTCCCTCAGAGCCTCCACCATAGGTTCCCCCCATTCTCAGTCCATACCTCTTTTCCATCCACTCCCAGAGTTGTCAGTTGACTGTGCTCAGGGCACTGGTAGATGGAGTTAAGGAGAATGCCATAGAAGTAGAGCAGAGCTGCCCAAATTTGGTGGAACATCTTCAAGCAGGAGGGAGCTGGTGCTCTGTGTGGGGTGACTGGTGCCTTAACTTCTGTCTCCCCTGCTGGCTGTTCAGTCCACTCTGCTTCCAGCCCCCTTGCCTCGACCCTTGACCCCTTTCACCTGCTAATGAGTAACTTCAACCTTGTTTTCCAATCCAAGCCTGGATTACTTAGTGTTTGGGCCTTCCTCCCCCTCTTCTGGATGCAACCACTCCACAATGTACCCTGGCATGTCCAGGGTCTCTCAGGAGTTATGAGGAGAGCTGAGCCCTCCAGGTAGAAACCTATGGTTTTTCAACTCATATCTGATCTGGATATCTGCTGTGTTGTGCAGCATTGAAGAGACGTAGCTTGATTGGGTCTTTCATTCATTCACTTAGCAAACTGTTTTGTGTCCCAGCTGTTTGCCAGTAACTGGCTAATCCTGGGAGACATAAAAATGAATAAGACACAGTCCCTGGCCTTGAAGTCAGTATAGGGAAACCTAGCATGTAAAGGAATTATTGCAATACAACTTGGTAGGTGCTTTAGGACAGGTATGAACCAGGTGCTGAGGCATGGTGGATTTCTCTCAGAAGTTTATTCTATAAACTGAGAAAACAGTATGTACAAACCTTGGAAAAGTGCACTGACACGTAAGTTTATTCACTTAACATTATGAACCAGGTGCTGAGGCATGGTGGATTTCTCTCAGAAGTTTATTCTATAAACTGGGAAAACAGTATGTACAAACCTTGGAAAAGTGCACTGACACGTAAGTTTATTCACTTAACATTTATTACTACAAGCAAGAGGCTACCTGATCTCGTGGGTAAAGATGATAGACTTTGGTGTCATACAGAGTGGGTCCAAACCCTAACTCTACTTATCAGACCTGGGACAATTTTATTAATTTCTATGTCTACTTTTAATCTGTAAAATGGACAAATCACCAATCTCATAGGATTAAATGAGATAATTCACATAAAGTCGTTAGCAAAGACCTACATGTGGTAAGTCCAAAGTAATTATTTGCTATAATTAAGCGTAATGTTTGCAAAGCACCTATTATAGTTTCTGGTGGGTAATGAGTTCTCAAATAATAGGCGGTAAGGAAAGAATCGTCAAGAGGCAGTTATTGAAAGAAAAGAGGCAGTCATTGGATAGTGAGTGCCGAGTGGGGGGAGCAGTTAGTGCAATGAGAGGCAGGACTTCCTTAATAGGTTATTTATAACCTACGGACTGCCTCAAGAAGATCTGTCCTGAAAGGTGAGGCTTGCTATGGGCTTGCGATTTGGTTAAAACAAAACAAAATAAAACAAAATTTGGGTGATGGATATATGAGAGTTCATCATACTGTTCTATTTTTGGGTAATGTTTGAACATTTTTTATAATAAAAAACTAAGATGCAACAATTTATAGGGGCAGTAAAGTAGAAGTGCTCGATCCGGAGTTTGGTACGCCTGGGTCTGTCCGTCCTGCCATTTACATTCGCCTAAGTGCACTCACCTATAAAATGGATGTTAATACCTATCTCAGATGTTGTGAAGTTTTTTATAAATATGACAATACGTAAAACCCTTGGCGTACTGGCTGGCACAAACTAAGTGCTCACTAAACAGGTGCTTATTAGACCTCAACTAAAACAGTACTGGAACATGGGTATAAACTACGAAACCCAGAAAGGATGCACACCAGGGTTGGGCACCTCGGCAGCAACGGGTCTGGCTGGCTGAGTCACGGTGTCGCGGGGTCCAGGCCCTTGCCCGACGGCGGGAGCGGGAAGAGAGTACAGAGAAGCGGCAATCCCTCCATCCCCGGCCTGCGGAAGCCCATTGGAGGGCCCTTCAATTCCCCAGGGTTAGGGTCTTGTCTTTCCGTCTAGGCGGACTCCATTTTCTCCTAATTTCCAAACTCGGAGGCGTCCCTTTTCTTGACAAAAATCCTGAAAGATACTAGTATGCTTGCTTTTCCTAAAACATGGCGTGACGCCTCGGCCGCGCACCTCCGGTGACGAACGTAACACCCACAGTCCGCCAAACGCCCACCCGCAGAGCCGAGCTCTGGCCCAACGACGCGGCCGGCCGCAAAACAGATAGCGAGCCGCCCCCAACCGCCTACCGAAAGAGTGACTTCCGGAAGCGCCGAAGGAAGGGCACAGCTACTGCTAGACCGAGAGGAAGACGAAGTTTTAGGTGGCTAAGTCAGTGCCGCGTGAAATTCTAGGCCTGCCAAGACTTTAATATAGATCAACGAGGCATAATCCCCAGCCTTCAAACTACAAGGTCCACACAACCACTCATAGCTTCTCTCGGGGCAGTCGTAAGGTCCCATTTGGTAATTTTTTTTAGGCCCTCGTAGTGGCCACCTCAAGCTTCAATTACTCAAGCGCGCGCACAGACGTGAACACCGCCGGAGGGGCTGGGAGGTGCTTAAGTGTACGCATGCGTAATGAGACGCACGCAGGCGCAGCACGGTCCCCCGGGTGACGGCGGTGGCGGCTCCTCGGGGTGCTTGGCTCCCTCCCATCTAAGCCGGCCCCGGCCCGTCTCACCCCCAGGAACTCACTCTTTGGGGCTGCGGACTTTCTCGTCGTGCCCCACAAAAGTAACGCTTGGGGACCTGGGGAGAACCGGAAGTACCGCCTCGAGATCCCCAAATACTATCGGGGAAACGGAAGTGGCCGTAGGTGGCAGGTTAGGGGAGACCGGAAGTGACGGTATTGTGGGGGAAATCGGGGGCGGAGCCGCGGGTCAGTGGGGTGTGTGTATATGTGTGTGTGTTTGGCTGTGTTGGGTGCCCCGCTCTGCTGGAACACCGAGGGAAGACGGAAGAGGGGGGCAGTCAACAAGCCGGCCCGGCCCCCTGTGAGTGTCTGCTGTGTCGGGTCTGTAGTGATTTAAGCGGGCTCGGTGGGCGTGGCGCGCGTGCGCGAGACCACTTTCTCCGCAGGGTCTGGCGCGATCCCAGCTCTCGCGTTATCCTAGGATTTGCCGACCTCTGGGGCCCTTGTCCTATCGCGACCGGTGATGACACTGGTGTCTGGTCTCGTGCTTCCTTCCCTGCTTCCTAACCTGACTGGTCCTTCCTTATAGTGATTGGCATTGTGGAGCCCCTCCCACTTCTCTGTCCTTCACCTCCGTGTGCCGTTGATGTCCTGCCCTTTGTGTTTCTCTCCCCGTGCCCCGGAATCAGAAGGGGGATGGGGGCGGGTATGAGAGTGTGCGCTTGTACGGGAGAAACTTTTTAGATATTGGGGCGGGGATTCAGGCTGGGGAGGCTTCCGGGTATATAAAATCTGCTCCCGGCGACACTGGGATTCCCTCCCTTCGTTCTTCCTTAGAGAGTTACCCACCATGGAGCCCAGTGATAACACAAGTACCGCTATGGAGGAGCCTGACAGCCTGGAGGTTTTGGTGAAGACCCTGGACTCTCAGACTCGGACCTTTATTGTGGGGGCCCAGGTGAGACGCCAGTACTTCTGGAAGATACCCATTAGCTCTTGTTTTTGAAGTCCTCTTAGACTGAGGGAAGAGCCTGATTTTTTGGTCCCCACGTTTTCTTTTCATTGAATTCTTTGTTCGCATTCTAGATGGAGTGTTTTCTTTTTTTTTTCTTTTGTCCTTTTTGAGACCTGCCGCACCGCGCTCAGCCAGTGAGCGCTGTGAGCGCACTGGTCATCCCTATATAGGATCCGAACCCGCGGCGGGAGCGCTGCTGTGCTCCCAGCGCCGCACTCTCCCGAGTGCGCCACGGGCTCGGCCCTAGATGGAGTATTTTCTGATGTTTCTTGTTGAGTGAGGTGTGATATCTATTGAACGGGGCACATTTTGTTCTGCCTTCCACCACCTTGATCGCACTCAATGTAGAAGGAAATAGAGAGGAAGGAGGAATCTGTATGCGGTAATCATGGGTGCACCCCAGCCCAAAAGGGCAGACTTAGCTCCTGCTTGTGGGAAGGAAAACATAACACAGGCACCCCAGACAAGTGTGTCTTATAAACAAACATTGATTGAATCTGTACTGTGTTTTTAAAGACTAGAAATCAGTACCCATAATGCAAGTAGAGCCCTAATAGATCGTTGAGTGGAATTACTACTATTTGTGCCATAATTTGAATCTCTTGGAACTTAATGTTGTGGACACAGCTATCTATGTCTTTACTCTTGTAGTACTGGGAGACAGAATCGTCAGCGGGTTGTTCTGTGGTTTTCTGAAGCCTGGTATTACGTGAATTTGAGAAAATCACGTAGCTTTTTGTGATTAGATGTATGTAGACACTGGAACTTCCCAAGAGTCAGTTGTCTAGTTAGAAAAAATGTTTTCCAGGGCCGTCCCATGGCTCACTCGGGAGAGTGTGGTGCTGGTAACACCAAGGCCACAGGTTCGGATCCCTATATAGCGATGGCCGGTTAGCTCACTTCAGAGAGTGTGGTGCTGACAACACCAAGTAAAGGGTTAAGATTCCCTTACTGGTCATCTTTTAAAAAAAAGAAAAAATGTTATCCTTTTTTGCTCCTTTCTTATCTTCTTGGTCATTCTTCCCTTCTTAACCCCATTACCCCCCCATCCTCCTCACCATTGTTTTTTATCTTTGAGATTACAGAGTTGTCTGTAGCAAATACACTATAAACTTCTGGTATCATTTTGTGTTTGGGAAGGGGTCACTGGTATTTCTAGACACACATTCCCTTGGGAGCCAGAAAAGGAGAAATGGGAATGTGAGTTGACTTTTTTATTTCTCATGTGTGTTACTTTCTTCTGGGTCTGTAACCTGGGATTTGTTTATTGTTTGTATTTTGTCAGGCATTGTATTAGTTCAGGGCTTTGCATAATGATTACCTCACAATGAAGACCAATGATTCTATGACAGTTTTACCCCTTACCTCCACAAGTCAGTTGTCCTTTTTTTAGCTACCGGCCTGTATAGGGATTTAAGCCTGGAAGTCTCTGTTCTTCCTCTTTGCTTCATTCTCTGATTCCTGTACATGTCTCTTCTTCCTTGCAGATGAATGTAAAGGAGTTTAAGGAGCATATTGCTGCCTCTG